AAAAAAAATTAAAAAAAACAGGAACCAACAGAGAAATGACACATGGAAAAAAAAAGTGCCCTGGTGCCTAAATAACTGTTAAAACTGTAAATGCAATAGCGTATTTAAGCATATTCAGGTTAACACCAAATCAGCACCTCCCCTGCCATACTGCTGGAGCTGTCCATGCCAGAGTGCTCGGCTGTGTTTGCTTCAGTCATCATTCATAATTTTACTCAATTCATTGTTATGGTGTAACTGAATACATCATTGTCATTGTAGAGCCAGTGTGGAAGACAAAAAGAAGAACAAACAGGTGTGGCAAAAAAAGAACATGTACAAAGAAAGTGTAACATAAAAGCTCAGAGGGAAATGTGCTCTTGCTCTGTTGTTAAATAAGCACTGTTACTAAAAGCTGTAGAATATATTCTAAAGGATAGATAATAACCGTTGACAGGACATAGGATTTATCAAACCTATTCGCACCATAAACATGAAGACACTTCTCCACAGACCAAAAGACACTGTGAGGGTGGAAGAAAGAGAGGCAGATGGGCCTTGCCTTCCTAAGAAGTGTGACATTGCTGCATTTCCTGTATCTGTGAGGGAACACAACCTACTTACAATAAACCACATTCCTTCCAGGTCAGTCACTTAAACTGCATCACAAATGGATGATTGCAAAATAAGAAAGAAAAAAAAAAAATCAGTACAGTTTGTGCTGAAGTAGGCCTAGTGTTTCCTCTTCTTGTGGTCTAACCATGTGAGGGGTGAAGAACTGCTTTTGCAAACTATCTGGTACACAAAACAGATCCAGAAGACCTACAGGGAGTGGGCCATTCAACACTACTCATTTCTGGGGGAGATGAGAGTCATTTCCTCTCAACATATTTCACAAACTGACTAAAGATTTGATCTGTCAACCTCTGAACCGCGCACAACTGGGAACTCAGAATACTTGTGTTTAGTGCATAACCCAAGTAAAAGTGTCATTAAGGATGAATCTGCATGAGTACACAACATTATGGTCCAGAGTGGCACGTATGCACAATAAGAACATTAAGATAAGCAGTGTGTTTTTTCCAGTAAGTCAGAGATAATCTCCCACACCCAATGAACTCTATGTTCCAGGCTTGCAGAACAACTTGTATATGTCACTTGTGAGGGAAAACCCATACATAAACACAGAGTATACCAAAGCTTAATGACAAACTAAAGTCACATGCATGCTGTCTGTCAAACTGCTGCTAATCTGCAAGACAAACAACACGGGTCTAAGCATACACCATCCAATTAGTTTGTAATAAATGGAAGTGCAATAAGAAATAGCCATAAAAACGTGGGCTGTAAAAGGAGCAGCATTATGAGGCTGGGATCAGAGGCTGCGAAGGAGGGATTGTCAGTAGTATGTTGACTAACAGACAGAGTGAGCATAGAGGCAAATGAGAACTGTAAATGAGATGTCTTTAGTTAAGTGTCCTGTCCTTTCTCCTGCCATCAAATTCTCTTTATTTCAGAAATGAGGTTCACATGAGATCAAAGAGACAAAAGGATAAAAGACTATCACACAAAATGGTCATCAATTTCCCACTTTTAGACAAAGAAATACACTTCTATTCACCAAAACTCTGTGCATTTCTTACATGTTGGCAGGCGGACGAATATTACATAAAATCCTGGCACACACACATTACGAGCCCCGTGGATCATTGTGAGTAATTATAATATACACAAGTTTTACCATAATCCTGTTGATTTTACACTATACTGTATTTTTTTTTCCATATATGATGTCACGTGTCCTCTGTAAAATAATGTTGCATCTTGAAAATTCTGTATGAGTATGTATGTATGCTCTGTGTGAATGTTAAAATGATTAATAGTGAGATGAACAAAGACACAACCTGTTTTACAAGCATTTAACTGCTCAGGCTCGTCACTCATACACAGGTCAAACAATGGAGACAATAACCCACCCTGCCTAACCCCTTTAGCCGACACAGCAGATAAAAGCAGCTCCCTGTAAGCACATATTTCAAGTTGTTCGTGACTGTCTTGAATCTTAATGATAATATCTGACAGTTTATTTTAGAGCATAGGTGCAACTATCTGTCCTGTGCTTGCTTTTAACCGCAACTTGATTATTAATTAAATAGTAAATGGCCTGCATATATAAAGCACCTTTCTAGACTTTGCACTCCACGTCACATTCACCCCTTCACACACATA